GGTGCGTGCGAGTCAGACTCACGGCGTTTCAGAGAGCAATTTGCTTCTCTCCTCTCTCGCAGCTGAGGTACCCAGGTGATCCCTCCCACTGAGCAAGTATCATCAAAGCCAACAGGGCCAGATGCTGATGGGGGAGAGGGTGGGTACAGATAAAAGCCCTTGTCCTCATGAAGTGCCCACCCCCTACATATTTCCTGTCTGGTGGTCCTGAGACCCTGACCGTGGGTCCGCACGAAGGAAGCCTGTGATAACAGATGTGGGAACAAGGGCAGGGCTGCCAACTCCCAATTTTCCTCAATTCCCTAGGACAGCTGCCTCCACAGATCCGAATAGCAAGAAGGGATTTCTCTCCAGGGATCCTGAATAGCAGGATAGGGGGGCTGAGGTCAGACTCAGCATCATAAGAAAAGCTGAGAGGAAAAAGGACTCACACGTTTGCTTCCCAGGAGGACAGTGCTCTCATAAAAGAACAGTCGGCAAAGGAGACAGAGCAGGTGTCCTAGGAGCTGGGCACAAACGCACTCAGTATAAGTGGACTGGGCAGAAGCAAATCCCACATCCAGTTAGGGAGGCCAGAGCTTGGCACTCCTTCGGGGTCCCTAAACTTGGGGCAGGAGTGAACCAGGGGCAGGGCCCCGTTGTTGCTTCAGGAAATGAGATCTGAACCCCCAGGTTCTGGCCATTGGACAGCTGGGTGTGGAAGTCTTAGGAGGTGCTGGGGACCCACTTCTGCCTTCTATGAGCTCAGAGACTGCTTCTGTATGTTGGCTGGCAGGGCTCTTTCCATAAACTGTGCCCCTTTGGGTGCCCAGGCAAGGTGGGCCTGCATTCCCATCCTGCTGTAAAAAGGAGGGACAGGCCCAGAGAGGAGGAGCAAGCATTGTCCAGGCTGCGTGGTAGTGAGTTCACAGCGATGCTGGCATTGGATCTCTATGTCGGCCTGGCTCCAGGCTCTGGTCAAGCACAGAGGGTGGACTGGAGGGGATACCTCTCTCCTCCTTGGTCCTTCCTGGCCCAGGTCCACCAGGAGAAATCCCACCAAGCCTGTCACTCATGGTCAAGCCTGATGAGACTCTGGGCACATGGGAGCTTTCTGCTCAGCACTTAGGTACCACTTCCCAAAGAGGAGTGGGGAAGACAGATCTGAGAGTGGCCTGCCCACCAGCCCAGGCAGGAGGAGAAGAAACCCTGAGATGGGAGGGTCAGGCCTCAGTGCCGAGCACCTAGCACATGAACTGGAAGGAAGAAGTGGCTTTCAGTGGCAACTACAGTCAGGTTCACTGCCAGCCATGTCCTGCCTGGGCTGTATGGCTCCTGTCCCTGCATAAGACCCCAGAGGCAGGTCAGCTTCCCTTGCCATGGTGCTACTTCTGATAATAGATGCTCATGCTTGTGTGGGGCGCCGGCCTCCAGATTTATACAACTCTGCTCTCTCACTAAATGCTGCCCGCTCAGGATGGCACCTGCCTAGCATCTCACTGGGCCCCTCCCAGAAAGGTCAGAGGCCACTGGGGCAGGCTGGGTCCATGCATTCTTAGCCCCTCTGTTCTATATCCTCTTATCAATGATGTGCAGGGAGATAAAGACCAGGGGTCTCTGTTAGGCAAGGAGGGAGGAGGAGGACGAAGGAGAATCCTCTTAGCTGAAGACAAGTCAGGCCTATAAACTGCATGTACCTCCCTTTCTTTTTTCCTTTTAATTCCTTAAATCTGATCATACGGATTTCCTGTGCTAGCTACCAAGTCTGTGTTATACCACTTTACTTTTACCAAAGACCTATGTTAGTATCTGTTTTCAGTAACAAAAATAAATCCGAAGATTTTCACTTTTACAAATGGTAATGGCTTCTTCATTTTACACCATTTCAGTTTACAAACGATTTTTTGTTAAGTTTACTTATTTATTTTGAGGTAGAGAGAGAACGTGAGCAGGGGAGGGTCAGAGAGAGAGAGAGAGAGAGAGAGAGAGAGAGAGAGAGAGAGAGAATCCTGTCAGCACAGAGCCCAATGCAGGGCTTGAACCCATAACTGTGAGATCATGACCTGAGCTGAAATCAAGAGTTGGATGCTCAACCGACTGAGCCACCCAGGCGCTCCAGTTTACAAAAGATTTCACAGGAACACTCTACCTTTGGATAGCAGGGAAAACCTGGGACTGTTTTTTAATGAAAGAACACTGAGAAGGAACCATGTAGTTCCAGGCAGACAAAATGACATCCTCCTTCTCACCAGTCAGACCATGAGCTGACAAGGGTGTGAGGAAAAGAAGGGGTGCTGTGGATACAATCTGCCACGATGGAAGAAGAGGTAGCCAAGTGAGGCATGCAGCCCTGTAACTCCACCCTGACTCCCCACACATGGGATTTTTACCCTGCCAGCGTCAAAGACCCTCAAAGGTAACACATTTTCTGTGTTAGGCTGAATGGCAGGCACAGTCTGCTAAAGACGAGAAAGGTGCCCTGAATTCCCCCTGCCTGGTGGGGCAGGCTAGCAAACCCAGACCATCTCCAGTCCCGCTTACCTCTCCCTTCTTCACAGTCATGGACTGGCGGCGGGGCGTGATCTCCTCGTTGATGCTGGACAAGAAGTTCTGTGAGATACGTAGGGCATCCTGCAGCAGAGGGTGGTCTGGGTGGCTGGAGGGCGTGTGCTTCAGCAAGTCCTGTGTCGGGCGAAGAGAGGACTCAAATCAGAGACAGCACAGCCCAGGCCCCACCACTGTGTGCAAACTGTAGACACACCCTGGGCAGACCCAGGGCCACCAGCTTGCCAAGCATCACCACCACCTCTAGACAGGCTAGGGCTATGCGGGTAGTGCTTGCACGAGTATCACCCCACAAGCAGGTCCTAAACCTAGACGGTGCTCCCATAAGCCCATGCTGTGTGCATGCTGCCAACAAGCGTTTCCACTCTCAGGAGCTAGGGCAGGATTCTCCATCTTCAGCCCTAACACTCTGGGTTGGATCATTCCTTGTGGTGGGGGCTGTCCTGTGCACTGTAGGATGTCAGCTCCCCATCCCTGGCCTCTACCCACTAGATGCTAGCTAGCACTCCTCTTCCTTTGCAGCTGTGACAAGCGACAATGTCTCCGACATGCCCCTAGGGGGCAGAATCAGTCTCCTCTAGGACCACTTGTCTGTGTAAAAGCTCAGGAGAAAAGCACCTGGCCTTCCTGGCTCCTCCCCCTTTAGAGACTGAACCTCTCAAATAAGATAAAAACAGAGAGGCAGGCAAACCATAAGAGACTCTTAAATATAGAGAACAAACTATAAGGGTTGCTGGAGGGGAGTTGGGTGGAAGCATGGTCTAAATGGGTGATGGGTACTAAGGAGGGCACTTGTTGGGATGAGCAGTGGGTGTTATATGTAAGTGATGAGTCACTGAATTCTACTCCTGAAACCATTATTACACTATATGTTAACTAACTTGGATTTAAATAAAATTAAAAAAAAAAAAAAAGAATCGAGAGGGAAATGTTGACTTCTTCACCAGGAACGTGTATAATTTGTGCTCAAGGTCAACAGCACCCTGGTTCAGAGAAACAAACTCCGCCCTGGAGAGAACTTAGCTCTCAAATCCCCCTTGGTGAGAACCCCCCTGCAGAGGTGAAACAAGTCTGGAGGAAGGTTCTGGTGTCAGTGGTCCCCGAACCCCCACACCACCCCCCAGGGTGGCTCTGTCTTCTCCCTATCAGGACGCTCAGCTCAGCGAGGGGACAGAATAAAGACCTCCGACACTCCATTGGGTCACCTGCCAGAGCCTCCCAAACCACGCCTTTCATCTCCCTCTTAACTGGAGGAGAGTGAGGTATTATGAAATGTGTACTCGACAGAATGCTACATGGCTTAAATACTACAGGCAGAGCTGTTTGGGCTGAAGTAGGACAATATCTACCATATCATATTAAGAGGAAAAAGAAGCACAGTGTGGAACGATATGTATAGCATGATGCCTTCTGTGTAATTACAAAAAAAATGTTCAGGTATGTTGGCATGTGCATAAAAGATTCCCTGTGGTGCTGGCTCCTTTGTGGGGAAGAAACAGGAAAGGAAACCTCACACACTTTTGTGACTTGATTGTGAATTAAAAAAAAAAAAAACCACGCATGTACAACTTGCTCTAAACATAAATGAAAAGGGCCACCTGGGCAGTAGGATTAGGAGCCATTTTTGTTTCCCCCACTGCCTTTAGGAGCAGCCCCACTGAAGTGTGCTCTCCCCATGCTCCCTCTCCCCAGGTTGCAAGGCCGTGGTCATCCTCACGGGCCTGGAATGCACCTGCTGTCTGTGTCCTCACCCCATCTACCTTGGAGGCTCGTTTCATGCACTGGGACCAAGAGGCCCTTCCTACGTGGGACAGGGCACTCCCTCCCTGCACTGCCTCCTACGAGAGCACCCAGGACAGCTCTAGAACCTGCTTTCTTCCCTGCCATGAGCCCCTCATTTCTGCATATTCAACAAAGGTATGTGGCAGGAAAAGGGGGAATGGCTGGGCAGCACTGACAAACATCAGTGTCAGGCCCAGAACAACAGAAGCCAAGAACCCCAGGGTGAGAAGGTCCCGGGTGGAGTGACTCACATGCAGAACCAGCGTGCTGCGCGTCACCCGGTCCACAGGCTTGTAGAGCAGGGCTGCAGAGAGATGGGCAGGGCAGGTGAGAGGTGGCCAGGCATGGAGAAAGCAGCACCAGACCACCCGCCTGCCTGTCCTTGCTGTAAGTGCTTGGGCTTAGGGAGCAGCCCAGCCCAACCTCCACATCCCCTGGGAACTACCCATCCCCAGTGACAAGGGCAAACAAACCCCAAACACCTAGAAGGCCAGGCACGTGGCTTTGAGATTTTGGTCCATAACATTTAAGCTGAGTCCAGAGCTACTGGTCAGAACCCAAGTTGATGCTCCTCCCTCTGGAGTTGGGGAGGCCACCTGCACTCGGCTACAGATGGGCTGGCAAGGATGCCAACCCTGGCGGGACACCTGCTCTCTGGCCTGGTGGGTCCCCCAGAAGCAGACTGGCACACTGCTAGTGATGTCCATCTCGGCGCAGTTTGGAGGCCTGATTCTGAGGCTGGCAGAAACTAACTCAGCTTCCAACATAGCTCTTGGCTTTCAAGTGTTTTCAGACAGCTGGACTCCAGCAGCACAGAAACCCTGGCCAGCCTTGGCAGCCCCCACTTCTCCATGACGATGTCAAGCCCAGCCCATTACAGGCATGGATGCTTAGATGTGTTCTGACACAAGTCAGGTACATTTCCTCATGTGATTCCCACGACTACCATAAGACAAGCATTGTTATTTATTCCCATTTTACAGATGAGATACTGAGACTCAGAGCATGGTGAAGGTCTGGTACCAGAGCCATGGCTGCTGTTCTCTGTTAACTATTCATGCTGTCCTAACAACCACAACTGAGAAGTGACTTATCAGTTCTGATTCCCTGCTCTTTGCCCAGAGTGAAGGAGGAGGCTGCACACACAGGCCTGGGAGCCTGATGACTCTGGCTTTATCCCTGCCTGGCCACTTAGGACCTGTGTTCCATATGGGTTACTTTCATTCTAAATCTGTTTTGTCATCTGAAAAAAGGGAAAACAAAATCTTCCTCACAGGGTTGCTGGGGAGAACATGATGACATTTTAAACGCCCAGCAGTGCCTGATTGGTGGGCGTTTGCAAAACCCTCCCATTCTTCCTGGTTGCTACTGTTGGTGGCAAGCTGGTCCTGCCTGTGTCCTTCCCCACCCTGCCATATCCAATGCCACTTTTTCCACATCCCTGCTCTCAGTATTGGAAGTCAGGAACAGCAAAGGAGCCAGAGGCTGACCCAACTGGGTGCCGTGTTTGTTTTTGCAGCCAATGCCCTATCCTCTCGCAGCAGCCGCCCCACAGGGAGCACGAAGAGGCCTCGGCATAGAGAACTCACTTTCCAAAGAGTTCTTGGTCGTCTGATCCTTGGCATCCTTGTTGCTTCTGGCTCTCAGGTTCTGCAAAGAGAAAAGCACATTTTCACACAGGACAACTGACGCGGCTTTGATGTGGCAGGACGTTCTGTGGTCAGAAACCTTTAGCAAGAAAACTCACCCTTCACTCACTGCAAAAAATCTTAGTTGAGGCAAGCCTTATGGGGCATCCTGGACCATAGCATGAAATACAGGATGGGCAGAATACAAGGCATGCCCTAGGTGCTGTAGGTTCATCTGGAACTGTTGATACTTGGGGATACTTGTTGATACTTCTCTTACTGTGGGGGCCTGTCTTGTGCACCTCAGGCCACCGAGCAGCATTCCTGGCCTCTATCTATTGATATAGCAGCACACCTTCCTCCTGCTATGACAATCAAAAATCCCCAGGCATTGCTAAGTTGTCGCTTGGGACAAAGATCACCCCTGCTCAAGAGCCTGTGACATAAGGAATCCTATAAAAACAAGGCAAATCGCAGTGCCCTCCCTAAATGCATAGAACTGTTTTCTCAGAGAAGTTAAACAGTGGGCAAGGGGGCTGGAAAGTGTGAAGGGCAGTCAGCTTTAGAAATGGCCAGGGCAGTCCCACCACCACTGAGACTAACACTGGATTCCACCTCCTCCCCACCCTCTCCTGACTTTGCAAATATACCGGCATACCTTGGGGTGCTGCGGGTATGGTTCTGGGCCACTGCAATAAAGCAAAAATCGCAAAAAAGCAAGCCCAATGAATTTTTTTTTTTTGTTTTCCAGTGCATATAAAAATTATGTTTACCAGTACATTGTAGTCTATTAAGTGATCGACAGCATCATGTCTATAAGCAATGTATATACCTTCATTAAAAAATGCTTTACTGCTAAAGAATGTTAACCATCAACTAAGCTTTCAGCAATCATAATCAATGATCACAGATCATCATAAGAAATATAATAAAAAGAGGCGCCTGGTGGCTCAGTCGGTTGACTGTACAACTCCAGCTCAGGTCATGGTCTCACAGCTCGTGAGTTCGAGCCCTGCGTTGAGCTCTGTGCTGACAGTTCGGAGCCTGGAGCCTGCTTCGGATTCTGTGTCTCCCTCTCTCTCTAGCCTCCTCCACTCGCATTCTGTCTCTGTCTCTCTCAAAAATAAATAAACATTAAAAAATTTTTGAAAAAAAAAGAAATATAATAATATTGCACAAGCTTGAAATAGCCTGAGAATTACCAAAATTTGACACAGTGAGCAAATGCTGTTGGGAAGGTGGCACTGACAGATTTGCTCAATACAGGGATGCCACAAACCTTCAATATGTAAAAAACACAGGATCTGCAAAGTGCACTAAAGCAAGGTATGCCTGTAGCTGCTAACAAAGAGGTGCCATGATCCCCAGGAGGAGAGCAGAGCTTTTCAGTGGGTAGGTCATGCTTTCACACAACTGCATCAAAGGATTCACTGATTTGGTCCAAGGTACCAAGAAAAGCCAGGATATAAGATGCCTGGGTACCTGAAATCATCTCTGGAAAGAAGCTATGGTTAATCCCATTACTAGGCTGCTGAACAACAACAAAAACAGCATGGGAACAGGAAGGGACTCAGACATGGCTCTCCTAACCTCTTGCACTGCGGTAAACTTCTCAAGACTAAAAATGATGGTATCTTAAGCTCCTTGGGACCAAACTCCACAATGCTCTTTGGAACCTCTCTTGAGAGTTTAATGGCCCTCACAGTGATTATTCCTCCGAACATCTGCCTCAGCAGTTCCAAAGGGGTGTGGGGGGTATGAGGGCATGTGAGAGCTGAACCTGAGCCTCTGTAAAAATCAGGGTCCATGCTCACGTGGGCCTGGGAGGCAGCCTTCGCATCACATGCCCCTGGACAGTCCCATGCACATTAGCATGCAGAGCTCCAGAAATCCTGTCTCAAGGAAACTTATGATTTGGCTTAATCCCCCAGTTCTCAAACTTAACTTGATTCCAGAGGCCCTTTTCCCAGAACTCCATCGTGTGGGAGCTGGCATTCCATGAATCCCAGCTTAGGCAGCTCTGGCCTAACTGGAAACCGCCCTGGCTCATTTTCAGGACTGGGAGATGAGGGACCACAGCTCCACAGCTCCCTCTCCTGGAGGTGACCATCCACTCCCCATGTCTGAGTTCTGACCCCCAGAGTGAACCTCTACACAGCCTGCTGCTTCTGTTTCCTTTGGCTCCATTTTGCTCTGTCTGGGTGGTTCCAATCTCTCTGAGTCTCTTTAAAAAATATAGGTGGAGAACCAAAGTGGATGATGCCTCCAAAGTACAAGCTTCACTGAGGACCAGCTTTCGGCTGGCCCCAAGATGCTGTCGCCCTCCCGGCATCCCTGCCTCAGCTCAGATTCCCACTTGTGCATGGTCAGTGGGACCACGTGACCCTGGGTTGGTGTCCCATCATTGCTTCCTCCCTCCTCTTCTAGAAGCCTGTCTGGGTGGACTTGAACTTGGCTCCATTTAACTAGAGCCTGCTCTTAAAGGATTAGGTCTCTAATTTGTCAAGGTCACTCAGGATTCTGTGCCAACATTGCAGCTGTCAGGGGTGGGGGGTGGGGGGTTGCTAAGTGAATGACCTAAAGAAAGATACGGTCTAAATGACAGGGAGGGATATCTGGAGCCAGCCTGGAACCCTGGGTGCATGCAGCCTGTTACCAGCAGCACCAGGCAGGGAGTGGATGGCCCCACGGGCTCTGGAGGAACAGCATGGCACCCATTACCACCATGAGGGACGATCAGCACCCACAACATGCCACCTCTCATGATAAATTACAAAATGGCACAAAGCCCCCAGAACAAAGCCAGGTATGATAGGGTATGATTGTCTCTCAGCAAGGGAGACCCCACTCACTCCCTATTTCTAGTTTCCATTTATCTTTCTTATGCTAATTTCTCCCTTGGAGTCTTTCCATCTAGAATCCTTGTTTGGTGGAGGGAAGGCAAGTCAGAGCTCCGAGGAGCTGGAGGCATCACAAGTGATGACAGGCCCAGAAAGAGGAAATGTCACCCCAATGCAGAGGGTAGAAACAGGATGTGGAAGGGTGGGGAAAACCCCCGCCGGGAACTCAGGGAGGCAGGCGCTGCAGGTCCTGGTCCAGGCATGGCCACCAGCCCCAACAGGCCACTTGTCCTGTGTATCTGAGAAAGTCTTTTGAGGCCCCTCATGCTAATACTGGGGGCTTGAGGTTTCAGTCCTCCTGGAGCTCCAGCCTGGAGCTTTCTGCCCACGTGGGTCTAGAGAGAGCAGCTATAGAAGCTCCACGCCCCTGTGCTAGGGCTCAGCTTCCCTGGTGAGCAAGGTCACCAGCAGGCTACAAGAGAAACGGAGCAAAACACACCTCCCCACCTGCTCTCTAGTGACAAGGTGCATAGTTGGCCTCGGGACTCGCATGGCCAGACCTATGCTCATGAGACAGAACTACAGACACTCCTTACTGCACACAGGTGGTACAAGACAGCATCTGTCTGGGGGACTTGGCAGAGCCCCAGAATTGAGTCCTGGACCCTAGAGAGGCAGGGAACTCATGGAGCTGCTCCTCCTATCTGTTCACAACAGAGTCCCCCACACAAGGCTGACAGAGCCAACCCAGAAACATCTGGAAACAGAGCTGAGATTTACCACCAGAACTTGGTTTGGTGCACCCAGTTCTCCCGGGTCATGGTGTACCAACAGGCCAGCCCACATCCTACCCGTGGGAGGTGGAGGGGTGCACCTGTCTGAACAGTGTCACGAGTACCTCAGAGATTTCTGCAAACTGAGCGTTGGCCTGACAGCACTTCTCAGCCGTTTCCATGGCAACTCCGTAGTTATCTACAAAGGCCCGGTACACACCCAGCTGGCTGGCCTGTAGGAAGGAAGGAAGAGAGTGTGGGACAGGTGCAGGACAGGTGCTGCTGCTCCCCATCTTTCTGAGAAATGGGCTTTCGTGCACAGCTCTGGAGAAATCCCAGGTGCAGGAGGCAGCGCAGAGCTGCAGATACCTCAGCTCTTTCCCGCTATCGCATCCCACCTGCTTCCCCCCACTCCCCACGCACTGTGCATGCTTCCCTCTTCCCAAGTGACATGCTGAGAAGTGACTCACTGCCCCAGGCAGGTAACGGTTTCCTTCCACAGCTGCTTGTTCCTCCCACCTCACTCATTTTAATAGTGCCACCGGCAGTAGCTAAAATTTGAGGCTGTCAGTGAACGCGGACAAGAGTCTACATACATAGTGGGATGGAGTGTCACCTTTTCGTGCTGGCTGCAGGAGACTCTAGTGGACAAGGAGGTCGCCCCCCTGGCCTATGGTAGCCACAGTGCTCCGCTCATGTCTGATCCCTTCAAACACATTAGGAACACGCAATCTAGCTGCCCTTGGAGAAGCCGGGCTCCCACTGTCCAGACATGAGCCCAGCCCAAACCTGGTAAGGGGGGTCCAGGTATTATATGCCACACCTGGCGTGCAGGAGACCTGCTGGCTGCCAGCTGCAAGGCGAGAGGCATTTTATTTGTCTTGTGTCAAACCAAAGGCATTAACAGAGGGTCTCTTCACTTAACCTTCTGGTCAGATACTCAACTGAGAGCTTCCAAGGGCAAGTGTGTGTGTGTGTGTGTGTGTGTGTGTGTGTGTGTGAGCACACACGTGTATGTATGCACATGTGGGCCCTAGGTCACCTTCAGAGGCAGCCAAGGGGAAACCAGCCCCCATCTTGTACCAACAAAGCCAGGCCTGGGAGGGTAATGGAGGACCCTGGTGACCGGCTGGCCAGGCCTTCCCACGGCAGCCGACCAGCTGGAAGCCTAAAGCTTTAGCTGATCCTGGTGTTTGTTCTGTGCTGAATCTAAATTTTATTTCTATATGCATTTGCATTTATATTGAATTTTATGTTTCTTCAGATGACAAGCCCAGATGCTGGGTAAGCCAGGCGCCCTTGGCACTGTCTGGTCTCTGGCTCCGCTCCCTGTGGGGGCTGCACGGAGGCCCTGCCGGGCCCCTGCTGCACTGATCACCCTGACAAGTCACTGCATTCTCAAATACCAATAGGTACGACAGTCAGACCCAGAGCATCTCCTTCTCTGTCTCCGTCACCGGTCACTGAGCGCCTCCCCCAACAAAGACTTGCTTTAGGCACTGTCACCACAGCCGCAAATCACTCGGACACAGCGAGGCCAGTAGCAGGAAAGATACATGATAAATTAATCAACAAACACGTAATATACCAAAGAGCTGAGAACAGAGCAGAGGTTGAAAGCTATGGGGCTGCTTTAGATAATTTGGTGAGGAGCCCAGAGGGGATGTTACTGTTGAAATGCATCACTTCAAAATTCCTATGTTGAAACCCTAACTCCCAGCACCTCAGAATGTGTACTTAGAGAGAGGGCATAAGAGGAGATGGGTTAAAATGAGGTTGTTAGTGTGGGTCCTAATCTAGTAGGACTGCTGTTCTCGGAAGAGATAAAGGACACAGACCCACAGAGGGACACCTGTGAAGACACAGGGAGAAGGTGGTCATCTGCAAGCTGAGGAGAGAGGCCTCAGGAGACCAACCTTGCTGGCGCCTGATCTCGGAACCCCAGCCTCCAGAACTATGAGGAAATCCATTTCTGTTGTTCAAGTTGTGCAGACTGTGGCAGCCCTAGCAAACTGATACAAGGTCCGGGAGAGGAGAATCCCTTCCATTACTTCTCCTTCTCCCTTTCCCTACGGAACTCCCATCTCCCATGTGGCATTTGAGAAGTGCCCAAACAGTCTAATCTTTTTAGCTAATCTAAAATGAAGCTATACCAATAATGGGATAAATAGAGATCACGTGCCTCCTGATATGAGGCACTGAGGAGGACACGGCATCACTGCTGTGGCTTGTTTTGTTTCGTTTTGGCTGGAAGCACGAAACTTGAATCTATTCCTGAGGAAACATCAGACAAACACAACATGGCCTGTACCGTTCAAAAATGTCAAGGCCGTGGAAGATAAGCAAAGGCCAAGGAACTGGTACAGTTTGAAGAAAACTAAAGAGATGTGAAAAGCAAGTCCATTTTGTAACCTCAGATTGGATCCTGAATCAGGGAATGAAAGTGGCTATCAAGAACATGATGGCCAACAGGAGAAATCTGCATATGGATTGCATATTAAATAACAGTACCACACCAATATGAAAGTCCCCAAATTCAATCACTGTACTACGGGTTATGGAAGGAGTTTGTCTTTGTTTTTAGCAAGTACACAATGAAGTATTTAGGGGTAAAAGGGCAGATATATCTGCAAGTTATTTTCAAATTATATAGCACGTGTGTGTGTGTGCACATGTGCACACATGTTTATAAAAATGATAGAGAAAAAGATAAAACAAATTTGGCAAAATGTCACAACTGGTGTATCTGGCACATGGGAATTCTTATACTATTTCTGCAACTTTTCTGGAAGTTTGAAAGGATCAGAAAAGCAAAAACATAGCTTGACAAAATTTCGGACAGAAACAAACCCCTGAGCAATTGCAGTTAACCTGTACATTCCTGTAGGAAGGGATCCAGGCTTTCTGAACTACCAGACACAGCTCATAAACCCCTGGGCAGGGGAGGTGTCATAACTGGGGCATAGCAATGCGGGCTCCCCTGGTCCTGAGACTCTCCCAGCTAGGGAGCCTGATGGGGTGACCCCCCCCCCATCTGTGGGGCCAACCGCACTTGTGCTGGTCAGAAAGGAACAGCAGAGCCCCAGCTCCTAGCTGGGTGGCACACATGAACACTCTCCACTTGGTTCCGGGGCATGACTTCCCACTGCAGCTCCCTCTCAGTCCTGCTGCAACATCTGACCCACAAAGGTAGCTCAAGGACACCAGGGAAACCAGAAGAAATTTTCCAAATTCTGGCGTTCGTCGAACTATGAACATTTGAAAGATAATTTTCTGAGTGATGTTGGAATGTTATTCAGGGAAGAGCGCTGTTGCAGTTTCTTCTCAACAACACAATTCTCCCATTCTAACGAGGGCTGCAGGCTGAGCCAAATCTACTAGGTTAGAACCTGCTGACACTTCACACAGGGAGAAATGGGGTGAGGGTGGGTTTCAGAGCTGGGGGTGCTGCACCAATACAGTCTCCTGCTTTTTGGCTATGGAGAAAGGGGTCTCATGTGACAGGAATCTGAACAAAAAGGCATTTTTTCATGTGTTTCTTGTATCTTCATTCCGGCCTGGAGTCCAAGGTAGCTGCAGCCCAGAGCAGTGTAGTGAGGACCACCAATAGGAAGGCTACACCTTGGAGTGGATCACTCAAGCCCAGGTGCAAGCCAAGGCAAGGACTGGGTCTGGGCAGCCCAGAGGGCTGTGCTCTGAGTACTTGGAAGGGGCCTGTGACCTTGGGCCACCTCTACCCCTGGAGGACTGGTTTCCCTTGGGAGCAGGAAGGCTCCAGGAAAAAAGCATGTCCATGGGGCGCCTGGATAATCTGGTTTTGGGATTAGGAATCCTCAGAAGTAGAACCTCTATCACAGGGTCCTGCCTGGCACCTGCCTTCAGTGGCAGGCCCAGGACAGCTGCTAAACTCCTCTACTCAGACTCCCTTCTCCCACGGCCTCCTTTGAAAGGGACTGACTGGTTGCACACTTTAGAACTGCAAAAGAGGTGGGGACTCCTTTCCACACACGTTGGAACTTTGTATATTGGAAGACAGATGTCGATCCAACAGCTCTCGGGTTTTCTCCTTCCTCCCGAGTCCCTTAACTATTTCTTCCTTTTGGACAAGTTTTACTTGACCCAGGTCTTGGTTAAATATGCACTTCGAGCCAATCCCTGTCCCAGATGTGGCCTGGCCAGTGCCAAGGGGCCTGCCACAGCATCTTTCATCTGATTGCTAGGTTTTATTGGTTCCATTGATGTTTTAGAAGCCATATCCTTGGCTCTTCTTGGGTCCTGTGGTCAGCAAAGGGCTGTAGAGGCCCTTGACCTGCTTTCACGGTGGGCCCCTTCTGTCCTGATAGGGTGCTTCTGCCTCTGGGACCTGAACGGCCACAGCCTGAACCCACAGCCACCTCTGCCATAAGGATTCCTTGTCAGTATGGGCTCATCAAGCCCTTTCAGAAATTCTTATTTTGTCATCCAGCACCAGCTATCCTTCAGTTTTATGACCCCTGAAGGCAGCAGCAAAGGCCCTCCTTTTGGAGACAAACCAGGATTACAGTCCCAGCAAGTGACCCGCAGTTCCTCAGGCTTCTCACCCCCTCAGTGGTGAGGACAGGACCTGCCTTATAGGGCCTGCCTCAGCTAAGGTGAGATGGGCCCCCTTATACCCTGCTACTCAGGAGCCAGACTGCCTCTCACTGAGAGGCTATGCCTCAGTCCACACTCCGCAGTTACAAACCACCCTGCCCCGCATTTCTCTAGTCTATCCATAAGAACCAGTCTTGATTTCTATAAGGCATGAAGGTGTCCCTGTCAAAGTCAGCATTAAATATGCCTGTTGTTTCTGAAAACAGCTGCTGGTAGGAGCTAAGGTGGGTTTTCCCCACCTCTCTCTACCAGGGCCCTCCTTCAGGCTCCAGGGGTACATTTCCCGCTGCCTTGATTTTTAGTGACCACATCTCCCCTCCCCACACCACTTAAAAAAAAAAAAAAAATTCTCCAAGGGCGCCTGGCTGGCTCAGTTGGTACAGCATGTGACTCTTGATCTCAGGGTCGTGAGTTCAAGTCCCACGTTGAGTGTGGAGCCTTAAAATAAGGGTTCGGTGTCCCAGAGCCCTTGGCAACACATGCCTGCAGGTCAAGGGAGAGGCTTGATCCCTGTAGAGCTGCAAGCTCCTGGGAGGCTGCCGTGCACCTGTTCCGAGTCACTCACCAGTTTCTGGAAGAGGTCACCCACTCGCTGCTGGTGGCTCCACTGCTGTACTCGGGGGAAGAGCCCGTCATAGAACTCCTTGTGGATCTCATAGAGCTCAGGCACTTTGAAGAAGATGGTCTCAATCTGCTGGCTTGTCAGCACTGGCTGAGAGGTGGTGGCAGCAGCCTTCAAAGGCTTCATGGGCTGGAAGAGGGCACAGGTGAGGTGACACGGGTGACAGGTGGAGTGGCACACATGAGAGGGCTTGCCCTTTCTCAGGTGCATGGTGTGACCACAGAAAGTCATGGTTAAGTGACATGTGTGTTTTTATTTTTAAATTCCATTAAAAATAAAAATGTAAAGCCAGCTTGGTTTGGCACCTGTCCTATGTTAGTGTCCACTGCCCCACGGGGAAGCCCAACTTCTACAGAGGGGAAATTTCTGGCCCGCCTACCGATGTCTCAGTGACTCCAGGCAAGGGGGGCTGCCTTCTGATGGCTGACCTGGGGCCTGTGAGCAGCGCGCCCCGGCCCAGCTCAGGCCCTCCCCACTCCTCACCAGCAGCAGCGCCTCCAGGTGGCTCAGGTAAGTCTCCTCGCTAGCCAGGATTCCAGACAGCACCCACTTCCTCATCTCCAAGCCCTTTTCCAAGTCCAGCTCATTCTGCAGGAGAAACAGACAGAGGTCAGACCTGGGGGACGATGCCCTATGTGGCCACTCTCAGAGAGGAAGACCTGTTTCTCAACCTAAGGACAAGCCTCTGGAGAAGGCTCCATGTAGAAATAAAGGGAGGCACTGGAGCCTCGGCCAGTCGGCCACTTGCTCATGGTCACTGAAAATTCTGGAGGGGTCATCCAGCAAAACCAAGAGCCACGCTTTGTCATGACATTGAGAAATGGGCAGCGTGGAGCTGGGCAGTTGGGGCAAGATGCCCCGGTCTGTGGGACTTTGTTACAGCTGCCCAGTAAACTAATAGAAAATATTGATGCCAAAGGTATCAAAACTGCTGTACGACTTCCTGGCCACTTCCCCCATGGGCCAGCTGGGTGTCTGGGCAGCACAGGGGGCTATGCTCTGCACACCTGGAGGGGGCCTGTGACCTGACCACTAGTGAGGGAGTCAGGGTCAGAGGTTGGTTGTGCCCACTGCCTGCCCATGCTCCCTCCGCCTGGCCCTATGCCAACAGGTCCACTGTAGTCCACAGAAACTGAGACAACACCCCTGCCCATTCTGCCACTGGTTTTCCACCTATGGGTGAACATGAGACAACCACACTGTGGTAGCCCTCGGGTGTAGAACCAGAGTGCTGCCCCTTCGGTCCACTTCCTGAACCACTCAGGGGAGATTGCTGGTCTGGGGCAGGTGCCTGGTCCTCGGCACTGCTGATATCTAGGGCTGAAGAATTCTGTTTTGGATGCTGGGGGGCCCTATAGGGTGTTGGGCAGCATTTCTGGTTTCTACCCACAGGTGCCAGTAGCAACACCCACTCCTACCCCCAGCTGGGACAGCCACAAATGTTTGCAAGATGTTGCCACATGTCCTCTGGGGCCAAATCGCCCCTAGGTGAGAACCACTGGGTTCGAGGAAGGACCTAAGGCCAGCTCAGGCCTCACGGTGTCTCTACAGAGCCTAGAATCAGGGCCTCCCCAGTATGGCCCCACTGTGTGCCCCCAACCATGCTTCCCTTTCCAATTTCCTGAAGTGGCAGGAGGGAGGCATTCAGTGACACAGATGGCTGGCCCAGCAGGAAGCACTCAGGGCCAGGAGTCGGGGGACAGGGCTACAGAGCCAGGCCTGCCTGGTGAGCCCCAGTCTCGGGCAACTGCCCTCTTGCCCTGAGCATCAGCTGCCTGGGTATAAACTGGGGAAGGAAGGCCCGATCCCCATGTCCCACCTGCTTCTGCTTTCTATCAGGCTTGTATCACAGGCTTGTATCACATCCTAACTGCCCACTGTGGGACCATCCAAAAAGTCTTCCTGAACCACCACTTTGCTTTGGGAATCTCTAAGTGTGCATGAGCTTGGTGCATGCATATGTGTGTACATGCATGCCCAAGTATGTGCGTGTACTCATGCATACATACAAGGCAGCCGCCAAGATCATGGCTAAGTATCGCTCCAGGGAAAGGTACCACTCCACACAGAACCCCCTCCCCCACCCAGGGCACACTGGGCAGTGGCTTCACAGGCAGAAATCTCTAGGACATGTTGTGCCTGATCTTGAAACTTCCTGTGCCAGCAAAGTGCCCGGAACAAATAGGTGCTCCATGAAGACAATGAACAAACAAACCAATGAATGAATGGATCTAGAACTCCTGGTTGGGCCCTAGCTTTGGCTGTACCTTTGTGAAGCTCTGAGTGCTCTTCTGGAACCCTGGTCTGTTTGACAAGCAGGTGCCAAGATCCAGAACTGTGAGCTTAGCCTGCTCCAGGGCCCCCAGTGCCACCACAGTCAGCAAGTCTGTGACACACAGTGCACAGTTGTGCAGGGGTAGGGGATGCTGACCCCTCTTATCATCTCAGCCCACTGAGGTCACCATGCATGGTGGCAGCCCGTTGGGAGAAGTAGCTCTCAGATGACCCTGAACACGCTTCCCATCGTGTCCAGGTGCCATTTGTGCCCCAAGCAAGGGAAGAGGTAAGGTGAAGGGCACAGCAGGCTTCTTGGGCACCAGCAGTCACCCACCCAGCCCTGCTGTGTGCTGAGGAACAATCTTGCTACTGTGAGCGCCCATGGGGGGGCTGGGGTGGTGGTGGTAGAGCCCCACCCAGCACGAGATGCCGGTGCTCACATGGGTGGCAGTGCGTCTCATTCCCACCCACACAATTTGGAAAGCTGGGAGGAAAAAAAGCACAGGCAGGAAGGCGCCGGCTCCAGCTCTCCCTGTTCTGAAGGGTGTGGCCAGCTCAGGGGAATGTCTGGCCTGGGGAATGTGCTAGGCTGGGGAGAAGACACGGGTGCAGATACCTCTTTTTGGACCAGGAGTCGTCTCCTGAGCCCCAGAATGGTGTTGGGGGCTGGTGGCAGACAGGGACAGCTCAGAAGTCAGCCAACTCTGCCTTGTTGGAGAGGGCGGGAAAGAAATGCAGAAGATAGAGAACAAAGGGCAGGGCCAGGACCAGGGTTATTTATAACCCTGCTTTGCGCACATGCCAGTTCTGGAAAGGGCACGTGAATCCAGTTGGGATCATGACGGTGGGGAGATCGTGGTGGAGAGAAAGCCGGAGGAGAAGGGCAACTGGAAAAAGAAGGCAGCAAGCCAGAAGGAAGGCCTCCCACTTCAACTCGGGCCAGGGCAGGGGCAGAGGGCAGGGAAGGGAGCAAGCCACACAAACCTGAGGCAGACAGAGCAGATAAAAACAAACTGGGCATGACAAGGTGGGAAAGTTGACAGAGGGACCCAGGTGAACAGAACTGCCACCAGGCCCACAAGGGCAGGAGCTGGAACAGAGTGGCAGGGCAGAATTTGGGGAGCACCCTTTACCCCCAGCCCCACTCTGAGGGAGCCAGGGTGATCAGAGTGCAAAACCCTGGCTGTGAAGGGGTGGGCTGCTCCCAGCTGGGAGTTGACAGCCAGGTCTCTCAACAAAGGACCCTGTCTTCCTCTCTGGGCAGGGGCCATGCCTTCACTGGCAAGAGGGCTGGCCACTGTCCTAGAGCCCAGCCAGCAGAGGGCCAGGGGCTGGCCTCTGCATAAGGATCTGAGCTAACATGCAGGGCAGGCAGTACAGTTCTTATGCCTGCCCACTGATAAACCAACCTGGGAGGGCTCTCAGGAGGAAGCATACAGGCTGGGCTGGCACCAAATACCTGCCCTCTCCAACTCTGCAGAGAGGACAGGTGTGAGCAAACATTATCACTATTTAAGTCAGGACCCAGAGCTCGGCAATTGTAGCCAAGCTGAGCCATGGGGACGTAACATTTATCCTGCTCTGTCTGCTGCAGAGCCTCACTGGGGGACCGGAACAATCAAAGCATCTCTAACCAGTGAATCATAAAAGTGAATGAACTTGTGGTTGCTCAGATAACAGCTAGACTCAGAGTTACAATTTCTGTTCCATGAGCACAACTATTGACCAGATACACTGAATGAAGTGATGGCCAGTATCAAAGTTATAAAGCAGGGTTGTTTGTCTTCAAACATTCCTGAGCCCCTTGTTGAGTTCCCTTGTAAAAACTGCCAATTTCACTTGCATTCAATCAGTAGGAGTGACTGATTGAATATGTGCATATACTTTGACTTCCACCTAAAAAAACCAAACAAAACCCCACCCCAAACAAAAAATCCCCAAAGGGTCCATGGGACCCCAGTGGGCTGAGGCACCCCAAGGGCATGGCATTTCTGCCAAGCAGCAGAATCCAAGTGTGCGTTTGCTTTCTCGGCCTCTACGTGCCCACGAAAGGCCCCTGGCTGGCAGGCCTATCCAGCTCTGCCACTCACTGAAGGGCCCCTGAATGTGAGAAATGTGGGCGGAGGTGGTATCAGCCCCTTCTCGCTGAGGACCAATGTTTCTGGGCCTGCCTCTTGCTGGTATGCTGGGGACAGGGCCTGGCAGGTCACTGCAGGGAGCAATGTCACACAGTGTGTCACAGAACCCAGTGAGGAGATGCTCGACCACTGTCAGCTGCCATCTCTGTGCCTTGACGTCTCCCCTTATAAACAAATAGGTGGGATGATGTTGGGACTCTTGAGGACGCTAGGAAGGACTGACCATGCTGATCTGGCAGAACACAGGCCCTCTGCCACTGACCCCAGGATGGCAGCTGGGAGTGATGCCAGACCCTCACCCCTTTCCCTGACACTGTTGAAGGAAGGTTACTTGCTAGCCCACAGCTCTGACTACAGCCTCTAGAAGTGTCCATGATACTGCCTTGCTTCCCTCAGTTCAATGATGTCAGCTTTACCCTCCCAGCAGAGACAGGCAGTGGTCATCAAAATGGCCTGCTCTTCTTCCAAGGGGCTTGCTAAGATGTATCCTCACCTGGCCATGAAGAGATGGAGGTATGCCTGATGGCTCTTGCCTGGGGGCAGCCTGCCCTCTCCTGCGGCTTCTGTCCCCATCTGGGATTGCACGGTCATCGTTCAAGGGGGAAATGCAGACAGCTTGGTCAACATCAGCAGGCACCTCAGAACGTCCAGGGGTGGAGAATGTCATAAGCCCTCATGGTTGGAAGGTAACCTTGGTCACCAGGACCCACCCAAGGTGGCCTGGGTCCTTCCCACAGCATCCCAGGCAAGAGGGTTCCTGGCCTCTGCTGACTCCCTACCTTCCCCTGGGGACAGGCATTCATGGAACAGACCTGCAACTTCGGAGTTCACTGAGCCACCTGGTTGCCATGGAGCGCATAGAAAGTTCTCCTGATTGCCCCCCAGCCCAAAGAGCTCAAGCTCAGTAGACGGAGATGAGCATCCTCTGGGAGGGTAGGAAAAGATGAGCAGGGATTTCCCCCAGCCTAACTGGTCAGGATTGGGCACCTTGGGCCTCAAGACCAGCATGCTGCTTGTGGGCATTAGAAAGTAACAGCTGTCGGTATGGGTTGAGCTGGTCCGGTTGGCGTCGACTGACAGGTCCGCGATGCAGCGGTCGGGAGTTTAATTGCCTGGTCGGGCTCAGGCTGGTGAGCCTGGAGCCTGTTTTCGGTGTGTCTCCCTCTCTGCCCTCCCCCCGTTCATGCTCTGTCTCTCTGTGTCCCAAAAATAAATAAACGTTGAAAAAAAAATTAAAAAAAAAAAAAAAAAAAAAAAGAAAGTAACAGCTGTCTTCTTCAAACCAAAAATAAAAAAAATAAAGAAGAAAGTCTCACTGTCCAGGCACTGCACTGCCAGGGAAACCAGAAAGTCAATGCCAGGTCTATCTCCAGGGCAGTGGAAGGTGTCCGCCCCAGGGCTCCAAACACCTAACCAGAGGGCTTCGGGAACAAAGCTACACAGTCCTTTTCCAATCAAATTCCCATCTTACCACCTCACATTCATTAGGAGAACCACTATAAACAAACAAACAGAAAACAAGTACTGGCAAGGATGTAGAGAAACCAAAATGCTTGTTGGCTGTTGGTGGGAATATAAAATGGTGCAACCATTGTGGAAAATGGTATGAAGGCTCCTTAAAAAATTAAAAACAGAACTACCATAGGATCCAGCAATTCCATTTCTGGGTCATTCCCCCAAAAGAACTGAAAGCAGGATCTCGAACAGATATTTGTACTCCCATGTTCATAGTGGCATTTTTCTTAATAGCCAAAATACGGAAGCAACCCAAGTGTCTACCAACCAATGAATGAATTACCAAAAGGTAGTATATATGTACAACGGAATATTATTCAGCCTTAAAAAAGGAAGGGAATTATTCTGCAATATGCTACTACATGGATGAATCGAAGATACTATGCTTGGTGAAATAAGCCCGTCACAAAAAGATGAATACTGTGTGAGTCCACTTACATGAGGTGAAGTAGTTAATAGAGACAGGAAGCAGAATGGTGGTTTAAAGGGGCTGGGGGCAGGGGAGAGTAGGGAGCTGTTTAATAAGTGCAGATCTTCAGATTTACAAGATGAAGAGTTAGGGGGATGGACAGTCCTGATGGCTGTACAACAAGGTGAATGCATTTCATACTACTGAATTGCATACTTCAAAATGGTTAAGATGGAAAATTTTACATTATGTGTATGTGAATGCAATAAAAAAGAAAAGAGGGGCACCTGGGTGGCTCAGTTGGTTAAGCGTCTGACTTCAACTCAGGTTACAATCTCATGGTTTGTGAGTTTGAGTCCCACATTAGGCTCTGTACTGATGGCTCGGGGCATGGAGCCTGCTTCAGATTCTGTGTCCCCCTCTCTCTTTCTACTCCACCCCTGCTCACGCTCTGTCTCTCTCTCTCAAAAATACACATTAAAAAATAAAGAAAGGAAAGGAAAGGAAAATTTCCCATCTTCTCCAGACACTCCCTGACACCTCCTCTGGGCCAGGTGGCGTACTTGGGATTGGAGACCCCATGTCTGGCAAGCACAGATGTATAAGATGAGACATGGCTATGGGCTCCCACGGGGGCCAAAGGAGGGAGTGGACACCCAGATGTGGATAGGCTCCATAGCAGTTAAGCCCTCAGACTATGGCTAAAAGCTGAGGGCAGAACTCCAAGTCAGTGTAGATGAGGGTCTGAAGGCAGAAGTGTGGTGGGGATGGGCAGCCAAGCTGCATGGGGTCTGGGCACAAGGAGGGCAGATCAGCCTCCTAGGGCAGCCCTATCCCAAGTTCAGGACTCAGCCTGCTTATTCAGGACTGGAAAGATCCCCGTCTGTACCAAATCATGCTTGTGAAGCAAGAAGCAAGGGAGGGCACTGAGAAAGGCAAGGTAGTTAAAGAAAAGAGTGTCGGGGCGCCTGGGTGGCGCAGTCGGTTAAGCGTCCGACTTCAGCCAGGTCACGATCTCGCGGTCCGTGAGTTCGAGCCCCGCGTCAGGCTCTGGGCTGATGACTCAGAGCCTGGAGCCTGTTTCCGATTCTGTGTCTCCCTCTCTCTCTGCCCCTCCCCCGTTCATGCTCTGTCTCTCTCTGTCCCAAAAATAAATAAATGTTGAAAAAAAAAAATTAAAAAAAAAAAAATAAAGAAAGAAAGAAAAGAGTGTCATCTGAGGATTTGAGAAGGTTTCAAATCTGGTAGCTGCATGGCCTTGAGCAAGTTACTTCATCTCTCTGAACCTCAGTTTCCTAATCTGTGAAACAGTGAAACCAGATGTTGGATCAAAACTGCACAAGGTAGGTGTGTGTTACACACTGGCTTCCCTTCCCATCCTTGTGTTTCAGAATGGGAAGCCTACCCAGCGCCAGAGTCTTTAGAAATCACAAAAGCATAAATAAGAAGCAGTCCTGCAGCTGAAGCATCAGCCCAGCAGAAAAGCAACTGCAGTGAAAAGATATGCTTCTGGCACTTCCCACCAACAACAGAGAAAAGCAGATTCCTCTCTTGTATTTAAGCCTGGGGAGGACATCATCAGAAACAAGCTAAGCAAAAGAGGGAAGGTATCTGTCATGAGGGGCAACAGGAAGACAGTGAGGTGCAACCTGCCCCAGGGACAGGATCTCAACTCAAGAAGAAAAGAACCTGAGAAGTCAAAGGGACACCCTCTGTCCCAAAGGTAGGGGGTGCATGCCTGGGCTCTAATGTACCTCTGAAGTGCCCCTCCAGGGCAATGGGACAGATCAAAGCAGTGAGGCCACCAGCTCATGTGGGACTACCCTAGGAGCCTATAACAACCCCGGGGCTATGTGCTTACAAGAGAGGGGCCCAGGACCATCTCTGGGAGTGAAGGAGGGCATCTGCTGAATGTGCCAATACACACTAGCCACATGACCTTGGAGCTTCGGTTCCAAAGTGGAGGTGACATCAGGATCGTTAATGACAATTATACCTCAAGAGGAAGATCCTGGTCAAATGGATGGAGTCATCAGCAGCACTCCTTCTGGCAAAAAGGAGCAAGTGCATTGCATGCAGCGCAAGGACAGGAGCCCAGACACTGTCCCCCTCCCCTGCCCCTCAGCACCACTGCTGGGACCGCCACCACATCCTGCTGGTAGGACAGTGGTGGCATTCTCAGCCCCTGCATATGCTGCCTGTCTCCTCCACACTTGGCTGACAGAGTTCCATGAAGTCCCTGCTGAAAGCACCTTGCATGCTGTCTCCAGATCGGCAGGTGCCCCGGATGGGGGAAAGAAGAAGGCGTTTTTAGCGACTTCAACCACTGGTTGCTCCTGACATCACCTACTTGCTACTTGCCCCTGAGAGAGTGGATGTGCTGCAGGGCACCTTTAGGAAGTAGACAGCAGGCCAGAGCCAGATCTAAGCCTTATTTCACACCTGGCCCTCCCACCCTGGGACTCACCGCTTTGGTAGACTCCAGGGTTCCTGAGGCCAGTGCATCCCGGCTGCCCCTGCCCTTGTTGCCAAGGTGGGGTGAGGAAGAGGGTGAGTCATCGATGTAGGGCAGCCCATCTTGGTGCCGGCGCTGCTCCTCAGCCCGGTCTGCAGCACAACTATAGCCAGGTGGCGTTCCAAACGACGTATCTGTGTGTAGAGAAGCAGCCGTGTTAGATATAGGGAGAGGGGCCAGAGAGAGGTCTGCCTGGGAGGGTCCACACCCCACCTGCCCCAGCAGGCATTGGGCTGATGCTATCACACAGAGGTGTTGAACAAAGACTTCAGGTAGGCTGACCGCACCTTCACAACCGACTGAGCAAAGACCACAGGGTGAAGCAGGGCCAGAACAGTGGTATGCCCCCCAGACAATGAGACTGGGCTTTCAGGACACTGTCTGGGGCACATCTGCCCTTGTCCTGGGAGTAGGCCTGAGCCATTACAGAAAGATGGACCTCAAATGCTAGCATCTTGCTCTCGGGGATGGTCCTTGTGCACCTGTCCGTGGGGATCTGATGGGGGCAAGAAGCTCAGATCATGCCACTCCAGGTGCAAGCCCTGGCCACTGTGAGCAGTGCCCCAGGCCCACCAGTCCCAACCCAGGGAACAGGTGCTGCAGCCCTTTCCCCTTACCCCACTCTGCCTCTTGGCTGACTCTCAGCCCACCTCCCAGCGGGTGTGGCAAAGTCCCAGACCATCTTTACCCCAACCTGAGTGTCCCTGTGAGGACAAAAGTGGCCTACCCTATGGCTGGCTCCATGCTGTTTGGAACCATCTAGTTAGAGAAAATAACACCTCCATCCTAAAAGCACCTGAAGACAGTTCACCCCTTCCTCCTGGCTAAATTACAAAGCCCATACCCCTTGGCCAGCCTTTCTATAGCTCTGTTTTCAGAACTGTTCTAATCCAATGGATCCTCACCAGGACATTAACCCACAAGGGCCCAGTCCACTCCAAGTCTCATGTGGGGGTCACTTCTTGACTCCTTTCACAGGGCATCTTCACAGCCCATGGGATTTCTGAGGTCATCTTGGTTGGGTTACATCACCTTCCCCATGACTCAACGGCAAGCAGTCCTGTCCAAATGTCACCACCACAGGCAGCCTCTGCAGTGTTTATTTACAAGATTACAACTTCCGCCACCAAGCACACCCAGTCTGGGGCTCAACCTCTAGGTGGCACTGACCACCTAGGCCAGGCAGGCACAGGCTTCCAGAGTCGACCCTGCAATTCTAGTGGGGTGACTGTTTTCAGTTCTTTCCATGCAGCAGCCAAGAGGAGCCGTGGCTGGAGTGACCAGGTGCTCACCACATCCAGTTATGATGGCTGCCAGTGCACTGTGCAACTCATCTGCCTACGTCCCAGCTTCCTCACACACCTCTGCCTCTCCCACTTTCTCCACTTCTGTGTCCCAGCAGGTCACATGCCCTCTAAGAGGTGTCCTTAGCCCTGGTTACACGTTAGTGCCACCTGGGGAGCTTCAAAAACAGAGACCACTGAAATCAGACGCTCAGGGAGATCTGCGCCCTGGTGGCTGCAAAGGCTTCCTGGGGGTTCTTTAAGAAGCCAGGACTAAGACTGCTGCACTGGCACAAGCTGGGAGCTGGCACTGTGCTGGCTGTCACCCACACTGTGTCCCTGCTGTCTGCATACAGGCGCTGACCACAAAGGCCAGGCAGAGCTCTGCTGCCCTGTGTGTCTGCAGGAGGGCTCCAACAGAGGCCAATTCTGAGTTGAAAGTGGCAGACAGGGTAGGGGACACTCAGAGCTGGGTGGGCTCCTACCGTGTCCCCTAACAAGCTCCATGGGCTACAGAGGAGCTCCTGGTACCATCACCGTGTTGGTTATCAATGCTCAGCCCTGCTGGGGTTTGTACTGTCCTACCAGGACGGTCAGAGGCCAAGGCCAAGTTCTGTCTCCTCCTCCTAAGTATCTCCAAAGGCACTCAACCAGCTCTGGCCCAGCATCCCCGAGGACAGATGGGGAGGGTTTAAATGTATAAAAAAACACAAAACCCTGTTAATGCAGAACCCTAACCCCACACCCCAGCCCCCAAACAGGTCTGACTTCAGCTTCCATTTCCTTCTGGGGAATCCCAGATTCTTTTTAACCAAAATGAACACAGAGGACTTCTTGTCCTCTCAACATCCATGATATGAACCCTGCATTGCAGCAGCCCCTACTGAAAACTTGCCTTCCATGGGAGCTGCTTTCAAAGGCAGCTCAGGCCCTGGACAGAAGGCTTTAGCTGTCAGATGACTTCCTCACAGGTAGCCTGAATGATCCCCCTGGGCCAGGAGGGTCTTTGCTCTACTTCTGTAACCCAGGACACTTCCTCCAGGTGGGGCAGGTGGGCCAGTTCTATGGGCTGTGGTGTGAATTTCCCAGAAGTGAGGCTCTGGTCCTGCCCAGGTTACTACCTACCGGTGAGAATTAGTGCAGGTCACTTAAGCTGTCCGTGTCTCAGTTTTCCTGATTTTACAATCAGGCATGTGAACTATACAATTGATAGAGGCCCACTCAGCTCTAAAATGTTATGGTCACTGTGTGGGTCAGCCAGTCATGCCCTGCCTGCCTCCTGACCTCACCTCCTTCGACAGCTTCCTTCCTCTGCTCCCCACTCCTCCTCTGGACTCCGCTTTTATATTAGCACAGAGTTTTCAGCGTCCACACATCCTCTCTAAGAAACTTTAAACTGTTCTTTTTTTTTTTTTTTTTTTTTTT